GAAAAAAGGGGGGGGCGGGGCGGGGGGGGGGGGGGCGTGACAGCCGCCGACAGACAGGCCCCATCTCAGAAGCAAGTTGCTGGAAGACTGGTCAGGTAAGCCTGCACTTCCCCTCCCTCCCCCCATGGTGCTCTATAATGTATTGCTGGGATAGTGGGCTTTGTATTCCTCTATAGCTGATGGTACATTGTACTGTATATTATAGAGCGCAATGTACCACCAGCTAAAGAGGAATACAAATCCCAGCAATACATTATACACTATGTTTAATGTATTGCTGGGGTTTGTTGTATACCTATATAGCTGGTGGTATTCTGCATTGCAGCATGTAATATATTATTGCTGGGATTTGTTGTATTCATATATTGCCGGTGCCATTCTGCATTGATTGCTGTATAATTTTACACTTTCCATTTCATTATATTGCACACAACACTACAATTAACCAGTTAATCGAACGTAATAATCGGCTAATTAATCGATTTTGAAAATAAACGTTAGCTGCAGCTCTAATCACATGTGTATTTACATACAAAGAGCAGGCTTAAAAGCAAAGCAGCTATCTTGGGAAAGCCTACTTTTATGCTGTAAAGTATATTATACAAATTTTAATGTAGTCGCCTACCTGACTGTGCACAGATTCAGTGTCATCTCCAAGCCCCTGTTTTGCATTTCCAGGTTTTCCAGCATCCTGTTCAGTCTGTTTGACATCTTTTTTTGCCTTACCAGCAGTAGTTATTGGTGGACTAGACACATTGTCAGTCTGGGTGAATGACGACAACACAAATGCTTTGGGATCTACCGTATTTACAGTTTGGACTTCCTTGTTTGTTTGGCCCAAAGAAGGGTGTTCATCTGGATTCAACTGTTGTGAAGCAGAAGCTATTTTCTGACAGTTCTTTTGAATCTCTTTCTGGACATGTTGTTCACCTTCCTCCAAGCTATGCTCAATTTCCATGGCTTCCTCATCCTGATCGCATGATAAGTCCTGGATAGAATACCCTGAGCTGCTCTGTTGATCCCCATCTTGCTCAGGCATTTCTTTTATATGTTGTGAAGTCATGGAAGTTACATCTTTCTCTTTGCTGGAGAAGTGGAAGGGACCTCCTCTGCAATGACCAAAAAACAGCACTTACCTCACAGTGCATATACAGTCAGTCTATACAAGCAGTGCATATTTGCAGTTTGTTTCATAAAGGGCTGCATGACTTCCCAAATCAGCATGAAAAGACCCCACCAAACCTATTCTCTATGTAATACAATTAACAATATTTAGCTAGTGTCCATCAAAAGGTTAGATCCCATAAGGGAAAAATCAACTTTCATAATGCCCTGTCCAATTATAAGTAGGGCCTATATTTCTGAATCTACTGTACCCCCAATCCTTAAAATGGGATTTTTGTACTTTTTGTAAAATGCATTTCTTGGAGTCCATTGAGGGACATAGGAGGTCAAAATGTCAGGTTATACTGCCTCCTACAGGAGGACTGGATAATGTCAAATAAATGTGGGCCAGCCCAGTATGACCCCTCCGACTTCCAGCATGCAGTCAGTTTGGTGGAAAAACAGTACCAAGAGTATGATCACAATCACAAAGGTGCGACCTGTGTCCCTTAATGGACTCCTTGAAATAATTTTACTGAAAGAAAAAAAATCTAATTTTCCTTCTTGTCCATTAAGGGACACAGAGGTCAGAGACTGTCGGGGCATCAAAAAGAAATCCAAATGAGGGGTAGGCAACAGAAGATGTTTACTGATATAAACATCATGCTTGTACTAGACAACATATAAATCTGTTATTATTAATAGTCCTATCATATTCAAGTATTTACCAGTGGACCCTGCCAGGTGCTGAAGTTATCCCCCGATTTCCTATCGAGGATTGACAACGCTATGTTACCGCTGATGAATCTGCAGCATTGTCAGCCATCTGATCTGTATCTCCTCATTTATCTTTGTGGCAACGTCACCACATCAACGTGTCTCCACCCCTCTTTGAGGTATAGTCGAGAGTTAAGTGAGAGCTGGAAGGGCTGTGAGATAAGAGTAGGGACTGCCCACCTCCAGGAAAGGTAACAGCAGTCTACTACTCATACAGGTGCCCGATGGTCCAAGTAACAAGGTAGTTTCAAGCACTACCTACTTAAATTGACAGTCTTTAGAGAAAAGGACATATCTTGGGGTGTGCCATGGCTCTGGAGCTGGAGAGCTCTCTGCAGCTAACTTTATGAGTAGACTCTGGTCTGGAAAGCACCATAGTGCAAAGCCCAGTGCCTGAGGGTCATATTCCACCCCTTAACGTCCAATCCAGCAGGGTCCAGGTACGGTATTCTAAGGTTAGCCTGAGGGAAGGCCGATCCAGATAGCTGCAAATAGAGACCAGCTCAGCAGCAATCCTCATTGATTTGGAGAAAATCTTGGAGAAAAAGTTACCTAACAAAATGGTTAGAGCAGAGAAAAGATGTCCTTCCGTCTAGGTCACCAGCAAAAAAACAAGGCAAGCTGGGAGAAGGAGGATTCACATTGGACTTGCCCACATTTTTTTTGTGTGCCCAATCCGCCAGTTTGCAGCAGTATAAACCGACTGACTTCCTGCGTCCCTCAATGGACAAGAAAGAAAAGTATTTTAATAAGGGGAGAAAACTATCACAAAACGTGTAAGTGACACTATATAGGAAAAAATACAAGGGCTGCAATACTTTAAGGCAAACAATTGTTTCATGCAGGACAGGCTGATGGCAATTTTAAAGCCAGTATAATACAATAATTATACCAAGTATAATACAGATATCACAAACAATGGAAAAATATTTTTGGTAAACAAGACACAGCATCAACCTTTACCTGACAGGAGTTGTAGTCATATTTTGACCTCTGCTCTCCTCTTCTCGATGGACCTCACACACACGTACAAACACAGAAGGGGAATTCTCTGTGCTGAAGTAAAAACCAAATATAAAGAAGCACAATAATGTCAACAGTCTAATAATATCTGATTAAATACAACATAAAAAACCCTGCAAGGTCAGCTCTTTTTTCCAGAAGGTACATCCCAATAAAAGGATACTCCGTCAACTTAATTTTTTTCTTTTTCATTAAATAAATGCTAATGGTTACAGTTTCCATATTGCAAATAACAGATCCTCTCGTCAGGGTTGATACTGGTCTGGATTGTGTTTACAGGAAACTAGGTTTTCATTTTAAGAATCAATATGTTCTAAGTTGAAGCAGTTCAATCTCTCTCTAGTTAGATTACTATATAATTAGAGCATGATTTAAAGTGCATGCAAAGCAAAAAACATTTTTAAATTGTTAGATTAGACTGGGAAATGCTCAAGATCCCCATGTTTTTGTTTGGGCAGTCTATGTCCTATCCCAGGATTACTTTCTGCCGTGGCTCCTGTTTTGGCTTTACACAATCCTTAAGGGTGCTCAGTGATAGTTTCTATGGTTATGCAAAGGTAATGCTATGAGCTATTAATAATTTCTAGCTAATTATCTGGGATAATCAGCAACTACAGCTATCAACAATAAGGCACTGCAAAATGTATTGTTAATTAGATCCCTTATTTAAACCTGGAAATCCACAAAATGTGTTTTCTCATGGGGATGTCATTTAACCTAAACAAAAGCTCCAATGCAGTTTTGAATGTATTTATAATCTCTGTATTTTATTTATTTTTGATCTGGCTATGTTTTGTAGGGATAGTGAAAGCATACTAATTGATGTACTTAGTAGCTGTATATTAAGGCCCATTCAAACCTTTTTTTTGTCTGGTCCAAAAAGGCATCCCTGTCCATTCCTACGGTAAAAAGTGAGGCTAGTTCACATCACTGCGTTCAGTTCCGGAACGTTAAAAAAAAAGGAATGCACTATTTGTTCTGGACTGAAATGCATGTAAACACATGCAAATGCACCAGAACTTCCAGAAAGTCCAATTGAACCTAAATAATGCACAGGACGCAGCAACGTAAATACCCACATTTCCAAAAACGCATTCAGATCTGGTGTGGGGAGGGTGTGATCACTTAGGGAGCAAAAAGTGTTTGCAATTCAAATGTCAATTGCATGGTGTGTCATTAAACCATCTCTTGTATTTTGTAAAAACACAAGCTACCATGCAGCTGCTTGGCAAAGTGCTCATGATAACATAGAAACCTGGTCTTACACTGGGTCTGTTTAACAAATGTATACATGGATTTTCCCTAAAAGGAACAAGGATGTGTTACCTGGCAACATCCCCAGCAACAGCAGCTGTTCCATTTGATTTCTCAGCAGCAGGCTCTGAACATGCAAACAAAAAAAAAGCAAGTTACAAAGAAATTCAGACAATGTTATTGGTAACTAAATACAAGAATATTCTCACTAGATACACATTAAAGTGGCATTGCCACATGTGAAGTGCAATCGGGATGCAGAATACACTGCTGTACACAACTGCTGTGGGGGGGTTGTTTGATGATGTACCCAAATATGTTGGATACCAAAAGTGGCCATAGTAGTGCAAGAGAACGAAGACTGCCTGCCCAGAGCTATTTGTGCTCATTTGCACAGGGGTTAAAAATGCTGTGTATAGGTGCATACAGCATATAGTGGAGAGCATTATGACACTAAATTACATGCAACTAAAAGCTGCCATAACGAGATTCTTCCATCCATGCTAAACAGTGTGGATGGACAAATCTCCCACTGGACTAAAGAGTTCAGACAATGGTGGGTGTACCATTGTTAAAATCCCTGAAAAGTGCTGGCAGCTGACAGTAGTGAAGGATGGTTTCTGATCAAAGGATGCTGGAAGGGTGCAAACAGGGCCACCCACTGAATGAAGTTCAGCCAGTTCATCAACGACCAATCGAAATTCACAGTGTCTGGCCACCTTTAACAATTTTTCATATATAGTTAGTTTGTTCCAGCTTCTTCCCAATCCTATCTATTGGTCACTGAGCTACAATGATCACAAGACTCAGACAATGGGAGGATAGGCCAAGCATGACATGAATAGTCAACATTTTGCATAGAAGGTGACTGTCTAGATCTACTGATCATTTTGACTTGGATTTCGTTGATGGTATCAGCTAAGACTTAATATACTTAGTATGAAGTGCTCAGGTTTGCAAAAGGCCTACTTTAAAACAAAACAAAACAAAAAATACAAGGGAAGATGGGTTGCACTGCCAACTTTACAGCTAGCCCCACGTGGCCAAATTCAGAGATATTGGATCAATTTTGGACAAGCATTTACATGCCCAACCAGAAGAATTGCAAGCAGCTAGTTATCTGCTCTGCAACAGCTAGATAGGCTAATATATCCCTCAAGCACAGGGAAGAAATAAAATAAATCCTGCTGTTGTTGTGTACACATGCTTATGAACAAACAGCACAACGTACATTTAGTATGAGCACGACCTCTATCTGTAAGCAGAATGAATACAATATGAAAATGAGATATCAGAACAATATGAAAACTTGCACAGATCATTATTCAACAGGGATGCTTTATGAAAACTGGAACCAACTTATCGCCTTTGTCATTAGCAACAAAATTGTGTGTTTCACTTAGGCAACAGCCCCACTTTTTTTTATTCCATATGCTAAAACAAAATCTGAATGGTCGTTGCAAGCAACAGCCCTTTTTCCTCTTCTGCAGTTTTAATGAATCAGCCCCTCAGGCTGCCCTGAGAAGTGTATTTCTTCCTTTTATTTTAGCTTTGAGTTCTTACTTTCCAAGTTAAACTGCGGAGCCCCTTCGCTCTCCTCATTTACGGGTGTGATAAGTTTCATTCTGAGACACAGTTTTCCATCCCCATCAAAGGCAGATCCAGAACTTCCCCTTTCGCTTTCCTCAGACACATCTGTGGTCACCATGGCACTCTCAACTGTGACATTGTTGGATGCCACCGTGCTCTCAGCTGTAACATCACTGGTTGCCAGGGTGCTGTCTGGACAGCCTCCAACCACTGAAATAGCAGAAATCCAAAATTCTCAAGTAAAATAAATACAATTTTTTTTGGTTAAAAGCCCAACTCCTTTTAATCATTTAGAATATAATCTTAAAGCCTATCTCCAGGGGGGGAAAAAAAGCACTCATCACTTGCAGTAGGGGTAGTCGTGCACTGCAAGGGTAACTGTCTCAATATGTCTAGGGAGCTGTGTAAAGGATATTTACCCCCACAAGCTCCAAGACCAGGGCATGCAGCCTCTCCCTCCCTTTGCTTCAATAGTCAGAGGCCTGCTGACACCATGTTTAATGCAGGGCCCATAGCTCTGCATTATATTTGAGGATGTGGAGGGACAGTCGAAAAACTGGAGCGTAGGGTAGAGAGGCGAGCACCAACTGGTGAACTTTATGCACCACAGCAGATAGCGATGTGCTTCGGTGAGTTGAGCTGTGTAAAAATGTAGACATGCTGCATTCTTACACAACACGCAGGTATGCTGTGAATAGGGCCCCTTCAAAAAATCCCACAACTGTGGCTGCAATATTCATCTTCAATCTGAAGCTTCCCTCACAGTAGCTACTCTGTCCAGCATCAGTGAACCCGGAAGACTGAGGAAAACTAAGAGTGTAAGGCGCATGGCCTCTCCCTTTAAAATGGCATCACTACAACGCCCTGTACTCTCTATGTATTAATGCAGAAAGCAATGCTGTCATGTCAGAACTGTTCTCGGCATCATCCACGACTGCCCATCAGAAGACATTTTGTCTTCGAGTCTTGTCCAAACATTTTAAAAAGTTAAAATTAATTCTTATCGACCTCTGCAAGCACAAAACTGCAGACACTAAGACTGTGTAAGGAACTGTTATTCACATCATTAACCCAGGGCATTTCATTTTAGATCTTAAGAGTATTTATTACACTGTCCATATATTAATTAACATCAGTACAGCTGCACATATAAATTTATATCCATCTCAATTAAAATATAACATGCTAAAGGAACAGGTCGTTTCACATTAGGTATGAAAATACAACCGAATCACAACCATTGCTGTTGAATGAGACCAGCTTATCTGCTTAAATAAAAACAAGCCCTCGTTCATTAAACACACTCCCTCAAGCATGTAGTCATTTAGCGATTCAATAATTTTTTCTGGGACCAGACCCCTTGAAGTATGCTCTACAGAAGCCATTTTCCCCCAAGTTGTATGCCATGAAGGAGAGAATCACACAGGAGAATTCACCTCTTCCGTCTGACCTCACACCTATAAATAGGAGTTTATGTGGTGGGTTTGAAGAAAATCCGTACTCGGTGTACCTTACAGCACCTTGAAAGACTAAAAATGATTATTAGAAGTGTAGACTTGCAAAGAAAACTCACCAATTGGTGTACTATGCCTTCTTGGTCCCCGTTTCAACTGACCAATCATGGGTGGGGTAACAGTGCTTACCGGCTGAATAAGGTCCCCTTCCTTTGGCAAGGTAAAATGGAATGGAGTTTCTGAAAAGTATAAACAGTCTTTGAGACATAAAAGTAAGACCAAGTGAGCTTTTACTGTTTTAGAACTGAATACACGTTGGTACATCAATCATAGCAGCTGACAATGAAGATGTCTCTGTAACTACATGCAGCGGAGTATATGTGGAGAAAATTACAGAGACCCCATCGCCAGACCATTCATTTCAACAACAATCTCCCCATTAGATGAATTGTGCATTTACCTAAATTTAAGCATGGTATTTTCCTGCAAAAACCTTCCGTGTGTAGACAGCCAAAATCCATGACACTGCTGTGGGTGCTACCTACTCTTGGAAGTGATATCAAGAGCCCCATCAGGTTCAGAGCTATTCGCTGCTCTCCCAAAATTGAAATTTTCTGGAGTGTCAATTCTCTAGCAAGTTCAGAGGAACATTGCAAATCAATGAAAAATAGTTTATGGAAAGGAAAAACATTGCAAGTAAGCATTTAAAATACTTGCTCTTTCTGTGCTTTCACTGGCAATTCTTTTTAAAAATTAGTAATATCGTCACTTTATGAGAGATAAAAAAATATTTCGATAAAGGGTTTGCAACAAGCGGTGTTGGCAATAGCAACCAGATAACAGAAAGAGGTTGATGCAAAAGACTATGCAAAAGTGTTTTCGCCCAAGACTGATAACCAAGGTCCTTGGTGTTCCGCTCCCTACAGTGTTGTTTTGCAGGTTCTAGGTACAACCAATGCTCCAGCAAATCTAAGCTTCCAAAAGCAGGCTTGTTATAAACATTTGAAAATGCTATGCTGCTCAGTAAATGGTAAAACAAATAGAAACCTGCTATACAGTATCAACTGCAATTTTCCTTTCCTGGCTCCGTCATGTCAAGCTATGGCAGGTGTTTCATGAGCTCTTCGTTTCGGGAAAGTTCACACATGAGAAGGACTGCCAGATGTTTTCCACAATCCGTAAAGAAATAGTTTTACGTGTAGCGCCTAAACTTTCCCATTAGCCTTAGAAGGAAAAGAGTGGTTTCCAAAAGTGCTTAGTTTTCTCTAGGCAAGCAGAGAGGTTGTCACCAATGTGATCCAAGAAACTTGTTCAGAAGCAGGAGATTGATAGAATGTTTTAAGAGTCAATTCCATACTGAAACAAATCTCAAGAGCAAATGTATTCAGAAAGGAGAAAGACTTAAAACAATCCTGTCATTAAGGACTTTACAATAAAGTTATGGACAAGCCAAGGCATGGCTTTCCAACACCATTCGGGACAATATGATGGCCCAAGAATTGCTGTTGAATCCAGAGAGTTAAGAGATTCTTTCACAAGATTGTAAGACACCACTGTAATTTCACATTTGGGGAGCTAATCTTTGAAGGGAACCTGCCAGGAAAGAAATATAGAAGCTGGCGTAGCTGACACACAAGGTAGAAGCTTTTAGGGCTTTCATCCTTGTCCTTGATCAACGGGGTTAATTACTAACCAAGAACACACCATGTCATGCACCCCAACATCAGATACACACATGCTTGTTTTAAAGGCAGTGACTCAAAAGCAGAGCATGAACAATAAGGAGGGCAGCTTTGGAACTCATTCTTTAAAAACAGGTCAGCAATGGTAGCTCCCAGATTCCTATCCTGATAAGGTCTAATGTGTATTTACTTCCTGCAGAGTGTTTTATAGATCTGAAAAAGATAGAGATTTTGATCTCGATGGTACAGATGATTAGGCAGACCCTCCCTGTGTCAAAAGCCAGTTTCAAAATGATCAAAGTTCTGAAGCTATAGAAAAGTGTAAAAAAATGCCAGAATGGAGGTGAAAAGTGGACACTTTTATAATTTAGTAGAGACATAGTCTATCTTATTTCCGATATAGAAAATTAAAAAAGCAGAACCCCTCCCCCCTTTTTAACAGTCAGTCAAAAAGATAAGATCATAAAGTCAATAGAAAATGTACAATGATAGCCCACAACCAAAACAGCTTGGTTCAACCTTAAAGCCCATTTCCAACTTTGCCGAGGTTTTAAAAAAAAAAAACATACGCCAGCAATGTACACTGGGTGTACATGAAGCAGGCATATTTAACTGGTGTATATGATCTATATATATATATATATTTGAACAGACCATTTAGTTCTTGTAGGATCTAGATTGATTTGAGATAATTTTTAACTGCAGTACAAATTATGTCTTTCAATCTTGGAAGATAAATATATACATTTGTTATATACATTTGTATAATCTCCAGGAAACTGATTTCAGTTTCTATTCCATGGTCTAGTCTGATATATATTTAAATAAATTGGTGGAAATTTGTCTCTACTTTGAATATAGTCTTGGCTTATTGCCAACCCTGTGCATGATGGGACAAATCTTGCCCATGCGCTGTTAAAAGGTTGAGTTGTGAACATCTGTTGCTGGGAGAAGTCACATGTCAATTCTGAGCCTTTTGTTTTCTTATTCTGTGAGATACTGATAAGATACCCATTGCATTTAAAAAGTAATTTGGTTATATTTTGAATAATATCCTGTGGTTACATTTTACGCATTACCTGGGTTATTAAATTGATATTATCTGATCCATATTCTGTTTGTCCCCAATTATATTTTTATTGTGCACTGATTTTTAATAAATATATATATTTTGTATACTTTTGTATTCCTCGTCTTCAATTCAGCGCAAATAAAAGAACTTGTGTAAATTTCGATGGAAATAAGTTGGGAATCTCCTTAATTACAGATCCTTATTTGTTTTCATAAATAGAAAACTGTCAATCAGAGCAGTGTAAACATTCTGACAATACCAGCTTAGCCTGGTATACACACACACGGTATATGGGATTCCACTTACCGCTGGAGCTTTCACATATACTACGTGTGGATTGCTCTCCAGTTTTTTCCTGGAACTCTGAGTCTACTCCATGTGCCTCATCCTCACAAGAAGCAACAGATGTATCAGGTGTGCATTTATTAAACGCCAAAGCAAAAGTGTTAATGTTATCCACTCTCAGCGGTAGAACCTGCTGATCTTCCTTCTGAACAAAAACAGATTCAATATTCCTTTCATCCTTCTGGACAGAAACAGTTTCAGGATTTCCATCTACATTTTTCTGAACGTCATTACTAGTAAGTAGAACCTCTTTCTCTGTGCTCTGAGGTTCTATCCGTTTCCAGTCCTCAGAAATACTTGTCTTGTTGCATGGGAACTCACATGGATTTTGTAGCTCACAAACAGAAGGTTCATTCACTTCTGTTACTGAAAGCTCTGTTTTTTTATTTTGCCCAGAGTCAGGTGCATCTTTTGATAGCATAGGCTGTTGTTCATTACTATCTGACAACTCTTGAGTTTCTTCTACCACAATAACACTGCACATTTCATTTGCTTGTTTGGTGCCAAATCCACACAAGTTTTTATTTCCATGATGGTCCTCTTTGACATTCGGTTCAACTACTGGTATCTTCTGTTCTGCCTGCAATATTATATCAGTATTTTCCTTGCCCTGTGGTTGTTGTGCATTGGGGCATATTGACACTGTGTCCATTCTAGAAGGTATCAAGTTTTGTTTAAGAGTATTTACTTTACATTCTTTATTTTCAATAGGCAATGGATATTGCTGAGTTACTTTTTCCATTGTATTTATATCAACTGGACCTCCTAGACATTGCTCTTGGTCTAGATCTGGTAACTTGTCTTCTTTTGTAACAAGACAATCAGTGCTTATAGAGGAAAGGTTAGAAATCTGCTGTGGAGGGTTTACTGAAATATTACAATCAGTGGCTAAAGGCACAACACTGTCTGACTTCACATTATCTGGGCTGTCAACTACTTGACAAGTGTGCTCAGATTTGCTCAAAACATCTTTGGCAGAATCCGATTCATTCGTTTTTTCACCTTTCTGATCAGCACTTGATTTATCTATGTGTAACTCTTTAGTAGGTGTGGTTGGAGATTTGTTACATTCAGTCATTTCAGATTGTGCAGGAATATTTGCAATTGTTGGTACTAAACAAGGGTTAGTCCGTGTGTGCATAGCAGTGTCATTTTCATTTTCTGACTGCAGCACTTCTTTTTGATCTTCAACAGGCTTTGGTAAATTATCTTGAGAGGATGCTTCTTGGTCCACCTCCATTGCTTTTTCATTTTCTAATGGTTCCACATCCTCATTGGAAGGATGTTGAGTCTCGGACAGTGCTAAATTTAGGCCGCCCTCCTCTTTTTCATGCTCACTTTTGGTTACCATAGAATCCTCACTGTCCTTCCCACATTGAGTTTCAGGAACTTCCTCAACATCAGACAAACTTTCCACAACTACCGTTGATTTTTTGTCAGGTATGTCTTGGTCTAAAATACTCAAAGAAGCATCAGAATTTAACGATGGTACCAAGAGTGCCTGACTTTCAGGACTGCTTGAAATGGTGATACAATCAACGTCTTTGTTGTCACATTTATCACCCAAGTCAGCACATACAGATGAAGAGAGTTTACTGCATGTGGGTGGTTGTCCTTTAATTGCCAGTAGCGCTGGTTCAGACACTGTTTGGTTGTCCTGGTCTAACGAAGGGCGACTTGTTTCGTTAACCACTTCAATTTGTGTAGCCCCACTATCTTCTCCTTCATGTGCATGGTCTGTCTCCATGAGTTGACTAGGCTCACTTGTAGGTAAAAGTAGATTACACTCATCTGCTACATGTTCCTCAGTATGTTTCGAGTCCAATTCAAGCTTTAGTTCTGAAGCTTTCTGGTCCTGTTCACTTTTTGGGAATTGTAACTGGTGAGGCTGATCTCTGGAAGGAGAATATTCAAGACTTGGAGTTGGTATGAAAACATCCTGCAAAATATTTACAAAATATTAAAATGTATAAAAAGCACCTATTTTCAATTTTACCTACAAAATAATACATGGGGAAATAGACCAAGAAATGTTAATTACAGTACCAATACTAGAAAATTTTGCCATTTATTAAAGAAATCTACAGCTTTTTTGTGAGTAAATCAGTAAAAACCATACCATAATATTTAAAAAAGACCCCAAAAGAAAAAACACACTGCAAATCTTTATTGTATCGTCTGCTTTAATCTTCTGTTTCCAAGCTAAAATTCTATGGTGCCCATCTCCGGATACAGGAGCAGCTTGAGAGAAAGTCCCACAGAAGTCTATAGGGTTCAGCTGTGCAAGCATGGCCAAAAGGCACCAATTACTGGTAACCCAGTAACACTCCAAATGGCAGACAAAACCAAAAGAAAAAGTAAAAGGAGGTAAAAAAAAACAGCAACAAAAAAAACCACACCATTCTGATTCCCAGTATTTTGAGGCAGTAGAAAAAAAAAATAAGATATCCTAATTCACAGGAGTTGTGAAGTTAAACTGGACCCTAGTTTACTGTGCAGAAGGATAGAAGAACATGTCCTTCTGCTATTCTCCTTCGTGTCCATCCTCCTTAGGGTAGAGCCAATACCACTGTGATCTCATGTTTCCGTCAATGATCATCCAATGAAATATAATTTCAGCAGAGGTGCAGTTATGCTTTAATTGTACAGAAGCGTTCAGCTATTCAAATGCTACCACATCATGTTATACAACAGAACATAAGCACACAATACAAGAAACTTACATGAGAGAACTCTGGCTGTGATGGTACAACAAATGACCCTGGCACAAATGTTGGAGCACTTTGGCAAACTGGAGTGGATACTTGAGGTACATGGACAAAGGGGCAACTCTTGGAACCTGCCTCTTCCTGTGGCTGTCCCGCTACCTTTGTCTTATCTGAGGATACTGCAATTTCCATGTCTTCAACTAAAAAATAAATATGCACACACATGGTAAAATATACATTAGAAGTCCACAAAATATGAGGAAAGTCACTCTATAAACTACTCTTTATATATTTAAACAAGCCGATCTGAATGAAGCCCGCAAGGTAGAAAGCTAGTTCTAAGTTTGTTTTCTAGCCATGACTGAAGCCATTCCTGGAGATCATGGAGGCACTCCTAAACTACTGGGAAAATACAGTCTATCCAATGTACTGCCCAGGGATTCCACTTTTTTTTCGCAGCTGGTCCATAGAGACTTTCTAACTCAAACCATGTCAACTGCCTCTAAACCTCATTTCTACCACTGCACTGAGAGAGCCTCCTTCTTTAAGTCATTACTTGCAACTCAAGACCACTGATGAGGAGGGGGGCAAGGAGCAGACACTGCAAGCATTACTCAACGCAGATCAATAGAACTTCTACAAGATCTTATTAACTGATCCAAGCCATTTAGTGAGCAATACCTGGTGCACCGTTTCTTGCGTTGGAAGAAAAACCACACAAATTCTAACAAGGCAAATTTTACAATAAGGAAGACCCTGCACGTTGGAATAAAAACTGATCTGAAATTAAGTTTTGTACATTGATATGTAAATAGACAACAAGGCAACATTATGAATCAACAGATGATTACCTTCTCCTTCATGCTGCTCTGTGGGGGAGCTGGGAACAATGATGGGAGTAGGTTGGATATCATCTGGGGAGGGAGAAGCAAGGTCTAAGGGAACTCTACAGAAGGAAAGAAAAAACACACACACTAGTTACCCGGAGTGCATATCTCATAAATGACCCACTTGGGAGCTAGCACACGCACTGAACCAACTAATAACTGCTTAGTACATAAAATATATGCCAGGTAGACAATGGCATTTCCAAGTATTTCATATACACCAAGCATCCATTACATTATAGACACTGACAGGTGAAGTGAATAACATTGATTATCTCGTTACAATGGCACCCGGAAGTGGGTGGGATATTTTAGGCAGTAAGCGAACATTTTGTCCCTGAAGTTGACGTGTTAAAAGCAGAAAAAATGGGCAAGGATTTGAGTGAATCTGACAAGGGCCAAATTGTGTTGGTTAGACAACTGGGTCAGAGCAACTCCAAAACTGCAGCTCTTATTGGATGTTCCTGGTCTGCAGTTATCAGGACCTACCAAAAATGGTCCAAGGAAGGAAAACCGATGAACCAGCAACAGGGTCATAGAAGACCAAGGCTCACTGATGCACATGTAGAGAAAAGTCTGGCCCATGAAGTCAGATCCAGTAGAAGAGCTATAGTAGTTAAAATTGCTGAAAAAGTTAATCGCTGGTTTCGATAGAAAGGTGTCTGAACACACACTGCATCACAATTTGTAGCGTGTGGGGCTGCGTAGTCACAGCCAAGTAAGGTTGCCCTTGCTGACCCATGTCCACTGCCAAAAAAGCCTACAATGGGCACATGAGCATCAGAACTGGACCACAGAGTAATGGAAATAGGTGGCCTGTTCTGATGAAGCACATTATGTAGATGGCCAGGTGCATGCGTTTCACTTACCTGGGGAAGAGATGGCACCAGGATGCACTGGGGGAAGAAGGCAAGTGGGCGGAGGTAGTGTGCTGCTTTGGGCAATGTTCTGCTGGGAAGACTTGGATCGTGCCATTCATATGAATGTTATTTTGACACGTACCACCTACCTAAAACATTGTTGCTGACCAAGTACACCCCCTTCATGGAAACAGTATTACCTGATGGCAGTGGCCTCTTTTAGCAGGATAATGCGCACTGCCACACTGCAAAAGTGATTCAAGAATGGTTTGAGGAACACAATGAGTCCAATCCATGAAGACCCCACCTCGCAACTTACAGGACTTAAAAGGACCTAAGCATCTGCTACTGATGGCTTGGTGCCAGATAACAAAGCATTCCTTCAGATGTCTAGTGGAGTCTATGCCTCAAGAGTTCAGGGCTGGTTTGTTGGCAAAAAAAGGACCTACTGAATATTAGGCAGATGGTCATAATGTTACGGCTGATTGATATATGCGTTATATATACACACAATATATAACACACACCATATACATCTCACATAAATACTCACTGCTGTTTAGTTCAGCAGAGCGTCACCTCATTCACTAATCTATACAACTGGTCACAATTTTTACTTAGCTTAGTTAATAGGTGAAGCTGTACCATCATCCAATCATCTGCTAGCAAAAATGTTTGTTTTTTTAAATCCTTACATGCAAAAATTGTATTCTTTGCAAAGTGAATTTTCATTTAGCTCTACTTCATTTACTAAAGTGCATGTCAAGGCACAAAAATATAGTAGAATATGCAGTACAACGCTGCAATAGATGTACATTTCCCAGCATAGAGATAGTGAGCGGGTAATGGTGCAGCACCCCCGCCATCATACCCTGTAGAACCTGCCTTCTTCTGCCATTGGGGGTTCCATATATCTCTTGGAATGTTTACTTTTAGAGGCCACGCTTGTTGCTTCCTTCCGTGGATTAAAATCCTTCTGTACTCCCCACCACTGAGGTGCTCCTGTAGTTGTTTTTATGCCACTTCGCATGTGTTAATGTGCCTGACCACATTACCTCCCTCCCGATGAGGTTTTTTGAAAACATTGGATGAACGCGTTGAAAACATTGGATGATTTAATTCCTACATTCCTGGATCACTGCCGTGATATCAAAAATATGTAATAAATTAAATTGTAATCCTTGATAAGAGATAGTGTCTGTGTAACAAATGGTTTAGGGGAGGTTCTTGTTCACAGGGAGGTTTTTAAATAAGCACTTCATAAAATGGATATTGCTCCATGATAATGTATGGTTCTGTATTTGGTGCCTAAAAAACCCCAGTAGGCTTGTAGGGGCCCTGTTCAAGAATTTGTATTTAAAGTTAGGGGTGCGGTACCTTATTCACCTTCCAGCCCGATACAGTTTAGCACAATTCCCAATGTTATATCATTTAAAAAGACCTTGCAAGTACAGAAAATACCTGTTTCTTTGCCAGAAGTGCAATTCACTCTAAATTTCCTATTGTGCGCTGACAATACAAATTATTTGACTAGGTGATGTCAGCCCTTGCCAGTTTTCTCTGGTTAAACTGCTCAACCCTGTCCACTGTCTTCATCGCCAAAGCTTAGGCACCAATTGATTCTTAGTCCAGGTTTTTATAAAACAGATATAACAAACAGAACAAAAGGGAGCAAATAAAGTTAATTGTTAATGTTCACATACACTTTAAGTTATGTTTTCAAAATTCACTGTGCAAAGTGAACATGCTCTACTCATTAAATTAATCAACCCAACAGTGTCTACATAACGGTATTTCTGTAGAAGGCTCTCAGCAGGTGTGGAGACGATCTTGGTTACATTAGGACTGACAAGTACATCTGCAAAACAAGAGGTTTAAATAGTTTCTAATGCAGACCCAAACCCTAAAAATGATTAAGCGATTTATTAGGCCTGATGTGCGGTAACCTGAAAACACCAAAGAGTTTGGTGTAATATTTTGCATACGTCAGTGCCAAGTTCACTTTAATTCCCAGTGCCACCTCCATGTGTTGGCAGAGGGAAACACATACACAGATTCACCTAACACAGTAAGGCTAGCCAAACAAAACTTGATAACAGAGCAACGTTAGACAATTCGCAAAAAAAGAAAAAAAAAAAGTCAGTAAAAGCAAGCATCAAACCATTGAGGGATGGATGCCTTTTTATACAGAGGTGCATACACAAAAAAATTAAAATTTAGCCAAACAACTCATAATAATAATGAACTGATAAACATAAGGAAAAACAAAATTACATAAAATGTTAGTAGTTAAACACAGGCAGTCCCCGGGTTACGAACAAGATCAGTTCTGTAGCTTTGTTCTTAAGTTGAATTTGTATGCAAGTTGGAACAGGTTCATTTTTTGAGTGTAACTCCAGCCCAAAAAAAATTTTGTTTTGCTTTAGATAGCATAGGTAAGGGTTAACCCCCTGTAATGTTTGTTTTGCTGTGTGTGCCCCTGTTCAGAAGATTTCACCTCACTTTCCGTCCCTGTGATAATTGGATTTTGAAAATTTTGGGTTGTCGTGGAAACAAGGATATGTGATAAAGCTTCAGTGGAGACACCTTTTTCCCCCATAACTTTTACAGGAGTGAATTTCCCTTCCTAGGGGTAGGTTTCCTCTCACTTCCTGTTGTCTCAAGGACACATCTAATCTCAATCTAATGAGGATACAGACAGCAGTACAAAACCTCACAGTGACCCGGAAGAGGCACCCCTTTTCTTCATGTCTAAAAAGAACTAACTCCCTCTAATGTACTACAGTACTATGAACCAGACCCAAAAAGGCAGGCACTCCACATCGGCACGAGCACGGTAGCATTACAACTACCCCTGCTGTAAAGTAATAACCGCCTACAGTAAGTAGGAGTTGTATGTAAGTAGGATGTATGTAACTCGGAGACTGCCGGTACAGCATATACATTGTCCTTTGATTCTGTAATTTAGAGATCAAGCTAAATACAATTTAGAGAACTCTTCAATAATGTGATTTATCATTTAAAATGCTTATCCAGCTTTTCAAGTGTAATGCAGCACCCAACTACTAGGGGATGCCCCAAATAATCGTTTAATGACTTCATGAATACGGAACATTTTAGTGTCATCGTGGACAAACGTCCATTGTTTAGGGTGCCCTGTCTTGTCTGTTGGGGAGGATATATCACCCCTGACCCTGCATGCTGTCCACTCTGGTTGAGTCACTCTTTGTTGTGCGATATTGCAAGCCTTTTATGTTACAGACAACTATGCTACTTAATGTACTCCTACTATATTTAGGGGCCTCTGCTTTGAGTGAGCATGTTTATCTTTAATGCACTTTTGTGGATATGGTCTGACATGTCGTCTTCTCTCATTCTTACTTTTTCTTAGTATCTGTTGTTTCCCTCTACTCTGTGCCCTTCTTCCTTTTCTACCTTTTTCTCTATTTGTTTTGTTCCAGGTTTAGTCTTATAGGCTGTATATTTATGCATGTTCATTGCTTTGTTCATTCTTTCTGCCGTGATACATGTCACTTTGAACCTTCATTTTTCTATTTCTGTTGTATTTTAAGAAAAAAAAAAAAAAAAGAAAAAATGTATAGATTAGAGACACCACATTTAGCCAACATGTTATTTAACAATGAACCTATTACTGTTTATTACAATACAAGAATCACATGAATTACCAGCTTGTCCAAATAGATCTTCTTGACTGGAGGCGAGATCTGAGGCTTCCATCTCTTCTTCATCAGGCTTCGAGTGTAATGGCTCTACTACAGTGGATTCTTTTAGCTGGTCCTCTTGAGCAGTGTATGTGTTGTTCTCACCAGACGCTTTTCCAGTTCCACGTTCCTGATTTCTAAAAGAAAAGTAAGATTGTAGCGATACCACTCACAGGGATATAAAAGCCTTAGAAAGAAAAAACACATACAAATAAATCTATGCAAAAAAATAGTTAATGAAACATGTCACTAGGTAGATAGGTGGAGTGAATTAATAATATGGGCAAACCCAGCAGCTGGGCGTATGTAAAGGTCTCCAATTCCAGCACAAATGGATAGAATATGAAAATATTTAAAAACAGATCTACTTTAAAGGGTCATTCTTCCTAAAACCATTGTTTCCGTTAGCAGGATGCCAAGGAATAACAAAATGATGGTCTTCTAACATTTACATATGTAAAGTTTTTGCTTTTGGCTAAGTTTGATTTGGCAGCACCAGAAGTATTACAACACAATCATCTGGCACATCTTTTATTCCATGTGTTACATACATGTTTAACACTCTACAAATGTATTTAACACCTGAAAAGGGAATAGTCTCCAATTCAGAACCTCAAAAGTAAATCCAAGCTCAACACCCAGTAATACATCCAATCTTCCCCCTTAAGCTATTGAGGCCTGTAAACAACAAAATATGAATAAAGGCGTCAAGAGTTTATATTGTATTACAAACAAACCATTCTAAAGAAAAAAAAATATGTACAAAACAACTACGCATTCTTTTTACAAGTATTCGGTAAAAGGGGATTTTGTCAACACAGACCATAGTGTGCTGTCCACAATGGCACAGAATATCAAGCAATATTGGAAAAGGTATAAAATGAGAAAACCAGGAGGCAGAGAATGTTAGAAAAATTCCTCATTGACTTGAATGGGAAATATTTACCGTTTTTACTACTAAGAGGAGCAGCAGGCAACAAGAAAACAAAGAGTCTCCAGCTTTTGTATTATTAGAAATAGTATCATGCTGTCCAGTAACACGTCATGTCTAGAAGTTAATAAATATTACCGTTTAGGATCTTCTTCCCGATTTTGAATTGTAACATTCTCTTTTTCATATGTTTCAGCACCAACATTATCAGGTTCTGTAGTAGATAAGTAACACATCATGGAATCTTAGTAGAGGTGAAAGTAGTTTGAAAATTAACATACAAACAACAGGACTTCACCTAACATTGGATCTCAGCTAAATATACATCCAACACTAGAAAAATCTGCACACATTAATAATATGTGCATTGTTGTATGACCCAGTTGCATTTAACATTTTTGCAAATCCATTTCATTTTACAGGGTCTTCTTTCAGGAAATATAGAATTCTGGGTGAGTTTGAGGTAATTCTCAGACCTACAAACATGTTTGCAAGACAAAACAAAAAAACAACAACAAAAAAAGAAACAGCAGGTTGCCAGTTGCATAGGTCTTCCTACATGTGGCAAGCATTGAAGAGAGCCTAAAGCAGCATTTTCTCCATAAAAACGATTTTAGCCCTTCCATTACTCAATATTGTGCATGCTGGCAAGAGAATTGGAACAGATTTGTGTTCCACCATACACACCCCTATGTTCTAGCAGCAATATGTCATGATTCTACTGTAGGGGATAATTCTGTAAAATTCTGTACTACTTTGGCCGCCATTTTTGTCACAAGATCCACCTTAATAACTTAAAGTGTATTTCCACTTTTGTAGCCAAATTGGGATAACACTTATTTTTCAGTATGCGGTGTGATACTGCAAAAGTGCAAATAGACTTTAAGGCTGAACTCCAGCTTTCTCTGTATTGAAAATGCCTTGCATGATTTGACTGCAGATTTTGACAGGGCTATTCACAAAAGGGTGAAGAGTTTGGAGAAGACAGGAGAAGTGAACAATCTAGGACAACATAGCTGAACTTGTACGTGAGCTGAATTGGAATTTTTTTCCAAATCGGCAATTTTGTCCAAGTTGTTCACTTCTCCTGCCTTCTCCAAACTCATCACCCTTTAGCGAATAACCCTGTGAGTTATTCTACCAAGATGACCGCCTCCACACAGAGACACAGTACAGGAAAAGGCAAGGTAAGTCAGCCTACAGGCAATACTGCTGACAAGTCCCTTGCCCTATGCTTGCCCTTTCGCATGAAACATGCAGAGCCGTAGCTAGCTCCTTTTGTGTCCGAGGCAAGAACAGAAAATTGCCCCCTTCCCCAACAGACGTGTTATTTCTTTTTATTATTATTTTTTTCTTTTTACTGTTGGGGGGCTTCGGGGAAATATCAGGGGTCTAAACAGATCCCTGCGATTTCCCTTTTGAAATAGAAAAAGAGATTGAGGACACAGAGTCCCCCTGTCCATACAGGCGGGGGAGAGCAGCGGGATCCGAGGAGAAACTGGAGCTTGTGCCGCTCCTCTTCTCCCTGCCCCCGGCCCTGGCTATGCCCCCTCTTAGCTGCACCTGAGGCGGGTGCCTCACTCGACCCATGGTAGCTACAGCCCTGGAAACATATAGCGTACAGGTCCTCTTTAAAATATGACTGTCCTATAGGTTGCTCACAAATTCTTACTGCATACATGCGAAGCATAGAAACAAGAAAGTTTGCCGGATATAGAGGAAAGCATTCATCACAGGGCATTGCTTTTGAGGCACTGGATATTTGACCGCTTTAATTTGGGTAAGATTATTGTGCTCCAAGTTATGCTTTAATGCTCCAAGATAAAAAGGCAGGCCTAAGTATGAGGGGAAAAAAAGAAATGTAAAATACCTTCTTGGATACATTCAAGCGTCTGAGGTTTAATGTGTGGTATGCTCTTTTCCTCATCATCTCTCGAGTGCTGGCTATCTATATCCTGGCTCTGTGATAGCTCCAGTGCCCCAAATGCTAGCTGAGATGTCCCAGAATCTAAAAGGAAAATAAAGCAGATATCAGTTAGATACACAAGTTTTCATCTACCTTCCTCAGGTCAGCACTTGAAAGAGCTACCTTCAGCTACAATTGTGTATGAGTCTTTTCCTGCTATGTAAATCTGATATCCTGCAATATTCATCTGGCTCTGTCAGTATGGATGTGCACCACTAGTTAACCGTTATTTTTCAAATCTTTCCACACATTCTCAATGTTTATTTGAATACTTTATTTTTACTGTGAATATGAATCAATATGAATCTGTAGAGAAAAAGTGTAATTGTTTTTGTATTCAACCTCTGTCATCGGACATAAGCAAAGTTGATAGCAAAATATCTGCTGGTAGGCAGTGCCCACTGTCAAGGACAGCTACAGGAGTAGAAATTACGGTAGCTTGAGATAAGGGACAGCTACAAGTGATGGGCATACTGTTCTGCGTCCCTGAAACTAGCCAATCAGAACACAGGAACCCTCAGTGTTCCTGACATTTGGCACAAAAGCAGAGAACTTGAGATAAGAATATGATACCAAAAATAGCTTAATGTGTGTTGCGCAGAACAGGATTTTTGTACACACCATAAAATTATTTTCTTGGAGTGCTTTGAGGGATGCACAGTCATTATTGTCTTGAATTGTATTGCAAAGCGCTGCGCACACTGTTGGCGCTATACAAATCCTGTACAATAATAATAGTAATTCTTCAACTTCAGATTATATATACTACAACCTACAGGAGGATTGGACACTGGCTAACAAAAAAACTGCAGCCAAGGATAGCCCCTCCAACTACCAGCATATGCCCCAAGCAGCACTGTAGCAAGCAGTACTGAGAGGATGATCATAAAACACAAGGGGTGGGATCCATGTTCCTCTATGGACTCCAAGAAAAATATTTTATGGGGAGTGCAAAATCTGATTTTCTATCTCATCTATTGAGGGACACACGGTGTTATCCATCATCGAGATGTGCAAAAGCAATCCAACTGAGGAGTACGAACACAGCAGACAATGTTAACAGAACTAAGAAAACAACAGAAAATGGAGGACTGCCTGCACCTCAAAGAGCCACCAGTAGGACCTTACGTCCGAAGCTGGAATCAGATGATGCCTCAATATCCACCTGGTAGAACTTAGAGAACGTGTAAATACAGGACAAGGTGGCAGCCTTGCAAATCTGGGAAAATGTTGCATGATGCCAAAAAGCCCAGCACACACAGATCTAGTACACCTTAAAAGTAAAAGGGTGGAACCCATTTCTTCAGCCCATAAGCTTGGATAATGGTCTAAGCCTTCTAGAAATGGTGGCATAAGAAGATGGTGGACCCTTACTGGGACTATGGAATGACAAAAAGATAAATCAGTCTTTCTGAAAGAAGCAGTGGCTGAGAAATAGACTCTCACAGCCTAAACTACATCCAGGCAATGAAGGGAAAATTCCTTTGGGTGAACTGAAGTCAGACAGAGAGAAGGAAGAATGATGTCTTGATTGAGGTTAATGGCAGAAAGTACCTTAGGCAAGACGCCATCTTGTCCCTATGCAAAATCAGAAAGGGTTCCTTCAGGACAGTGTAGCCAGTTCAGACACTGACATCACAGAGGAGATAGCTACAAGGAATACCACCTTGTGTAAGAATATCACTAATGGATTCAAATGGAGGTTTCTGAAGTCCAGAGGGAACCAGGTTTAAATGCCATGGAGTCACAGGGCAATGAACAGTGGTAGGTATAGGAAGACTCCCAATCAAAAGGCCTTAAAGCAAGGAATCAGAAGCCAATGGTCTCTGAAACAAGATAAAAAGGAGCAGAAACATAACATTTACTGTCCAAACTCACACCATGCCCGATTACATACTTTGTGGGAAGAAAATGATCCATTTACCTGGAGACAAACCTGTCCAGTTTTTTGTTGGCCCTGGAGACAGGAGGTCCACATCCAGTGTCCACCACCTGTGACACAGGTCCTGGAACACCCCTGGGTGTAGGGACCACTTCTATGGTCCAGACATTACCGGCTAAGGAAGTCCGCCTGCCAATTGTCTATGCTTCCGACGATGAGACTCCTCTGATGAATAAGTCCCATTTATCAATAGGATGCCCAGGACTCCTCCCCAGCCAAAAGAGGCTGACATCCATCGTAAGGAACCTCCAGAAGATGGGAAGGAAGAACTTCCGATTCCAGAGCCACCAGGCCAGTTGCAACCTGGTCCTCTGTAACAGCTGAATTGGTTTGTCCAAGGACTAGACTGACTTGTCCCTCAGTGAAAGATTGTTGCGTTGTACAGTGAAATTGGGCAAACGGGACTGCCGGAAGGGAGAGGCTATCATCAGACCCAGAACTCATGGACCGGAATAGTTTGACTCCGAGATCGGATTATCTGAATTTTCTCCAGTGGGAGACGTTCTCTGGCCTGTGGTCTGTCCACAACTAGACCCAGACACTCCAGACAATCAGCCGGTTCAAGCCCTGATTTCTAAAAGGTTTAGAATCCATCTGAACCATTGTAATGTTTGGGTTCTGCAGTCCAACACTTACACCAACGCGTTCTCCTCATGTGTATGGAAGGAAGACCCATGTGGGAAATGAAACAGGAAACTTCCAGCAGTACCTCACAACTATAGCTTCACACTACAACCATTTGTGCCAAATGTTCTACAACCATGGGATTAACCCCAGCAGTGGCAAGATCCCTTTTAACCAGTCAACCAGGGTTTGGCAAAGCAAGGTCACAGCTAAAATGGGATGAAGAGTAAGGCTTGCCAGCAAGACCAGGACTCTAGGGAGGCCTTCCAACCATTTATTGGTTAGGTCCTTAAAGACAGTAGCATCCTCCACTGATATGGTGGTCACTTTGTTAAAAGAAGACCACTTTTTGACAAAGTTCTTTTCAAACAGGTACAAGGCTACTAAGAACTTGGGGAAGGGGAGCAAACATCTTGTCAGGGTGTTATAAGCTCCATGGAGGAAGACCTGGATCAGCAGGAGCACTGGGAAAGACTTTGCCGACTTTGGGGTTATAAAGGACCCAAGACTTGGAAAAGCACTGGTAGAAGCAACAAGCTTATCCTCTAGTTTCAGATTGGTGTGCACCACATCAATAAGAGCCAAAACAGTCTCTTTTAATGTAAAGATAATCGAAGAAAAGATAGAATCAGACAGTCTCAGTGGCTGACGGCAAAGGTGGTGGGCAAATCATATACGGAACCTACATGGGAGGGCAGAGAAGCATGCCAGCAAATAACTGTCAGATTGGGGCCATAAAGTCTTAAATTACTGTAGTAAAAACCACAGCCAAGTGTACAGAGGGGCCAGTCACACCTGATGGACTTAGGGAGAACTCCAAAGATGGGGTGAACTCTAAGAGCAGAGGCCAATATAATTCCATGCTACAGACATTGGCCGCATCAGGTGCACTGTAAGCAGCACTAGAGCTACTAGTAGAGTGTGCGTTTGAGCCGGGGGCACCAGGTACAGCGGGGCTGTCCCTACCGGGTGTAGAGTCAGACATGTGGTGACTGTGTGGCAGTAAGGTAACGTAAGGCTCAAAGTATGAGGCAAGGCCTCAGGCATCCACAAAACCGAAACGAATGTAACAGGTGAGGGCTGGCTGGGGGTGACCTAGGTCACTGTCGGTGATTGAACTTCCTCAGGGCTGTCTGCAACACAGAAGTAGCGGGGAGATGCTTTTGTGATGCTGTATGGTGGAAAATAGAGTGCAGAGCGTGTAGGCATGACACTCCACCCAGCAAATGATATCAGCAATCAAGATTAATCCTTTTTGTTGTGGACATCAGCAAGAATGGGGAAATGTAAAGGCTTCCAGCAATGTATGTACTTAAGGTGGCTTGGGGGTCCCCTCCCCTCTTCAACCTGCTGAATGCGCAGATTACTATGGAAATTCTGTGGATTCCAGGTGCGATCCAGCAGATCCTAACCATGATGCAGGTTTTCAAAAAAATACTTCTCCCCTCTGGTGACAAAATAGACTTTACAGGTAATGTTTGTTCGCAAGGAGGATGCCCACGAGAACAATACCTGAAGCCACCAGCTCAGAGGACCTCAAACCTAGGCAGACCTGATGTTCCCTCACAACCTTATTATATTGCTGATTGGGAAAGAGATTTAGGTAGACAATTAACAGAAGAGGAGGTCCAAAAAGCATTCACAGGACTGGAGTTTGCCTACCCGTTTTGTGGTATACCAGTACTCCTGATGCAGTCTATCACCAAGGCATGAACAAGTTTATCAAATAGAAATAAATTCACGCTTTGCTTCCCTTACATGCAAATGGGAGTGATTTAATGACACATCCAATATTTAATGTTGAAATCACCCATGATTACTTTTGTGAGACTTCTAAAGCTTGTGTTGTAAGTACAAATTATAGATAGCACTGAATAAAACATATTTCTTTTGAAATTGTACCTTCAGCTTCAAGTGAGTGCGTGGAGCAGTCGGCAGCTTCTTCAGCTTCAATACTTTCATCACAGTTGAAACTATTGAATGCGATAAAAAAAGGCAATTATAATACAGACATCATATTCCTAATTAACCCAAATAGTTCAAGTTTAAACAAAACATTATCGGAGCTGTAGGACTATAATTAGGGTTCCGTAAAAATCTGTATTTATTTTCATCAACTTCTATTCATGTACAAAATGTATACTGCATGAAAGTAATTGAAATAAATTCCCAAACAAAAGAAATTAAAAGACTTTTCGGGTACCCACACATGCAATTCTTAAATTAAAATTTTATTTATGTACACAAATAAAAAAATTGAAAAAGTCAAGAAGCCACAAAACGGTAACATTAGTACTTGTGGCTCATAAATGCACTAATATTAAAACCCCAGGTAGCCCACTCTGATTGATACATACTGTATGATGTATTTACATTTTATTTCAAACCAAATGAATATGCTTCGCACTTGACATAACTACTGTGATGAAAATAATTATTTGATCCCCTGCAGACTTTGTAAGTTTGCCCCCTTACAAAGAAATGAAAGGTCTATAATTTTTATCATAGTTGTATTTGAAAATGATAGACCGAATATCAACCAAAAATCCAGAAAAAACACATGATACAAATGTTATAAATTGAGTTGCAGTTTTGGGTCATTGAGAAAGAACCATCCACGACACATCTTCAGTGTTCTGGCTGAGGGAAGGAGGTTCTCATCCAAGATTTTACAATACATGGCCCCGTCCATTGGCCCTTCAATGCGGCAAAGTCGGCCTGCACCTTTAGCAGAGAAACAGCCCCAAAGCATAATGTTTCCACCTTTGTGCTTGACTGTAGGGATGGTGTACTTGAGGTCAATCAGAGGAGGGTTCCTTGGGTGTTAATATTAGTGCATTTATGAGCGAGTACTAATGTTACCATTTTAAGCCTTCTTAACTTTTTAATTTTTATATTTGTGTACATAAAACATTATTTCATTTAAAATACACCTATGATAACAATTATAGATCTTTCATTTCTTTGTAAGTGGGCAAACTTACAAAATCTGCATGGGATCAAATAATTTCCACACTGTATAATGAAATGTCAGAGAAGGCTTACATTTAATTTAAAAATGAATAATAAGTTATTGTTCAATTTTAAATTGTGCATATATTATGTATAATACTTACCTTGCTCTTGTCAACACCCTAGACACTCCTGAGGAAGCTGACTAATTACCGCGAAACGTGTAGAGTACAGCCTTCTCTGAAGACGTTTTCGTTATATGTATGTCAAGTGTGGAGCACATTCATATGGTTTTGACATAAAATATGAATATATCATATGTATCAATCAGAGGGGACTACCTGGGTTGCTAAAATTAGTGGATTTATGAGCCACAAGTACTAACTCTACCATTCTATGCCTTCTTGATTATTTTAATTTTATATTTGTGTATATAAATAAAGAATACAGTTAATTTAAGCATTCCATGTATGGGTACCTGAAAAGTCCGTCAATTTCTTTGCCTGGGTATTTGTAGGTGCTGGATAACGGTTATATTATTAACTCTAAAGCAACCACCTTCCTGACATGACGGAGGTCACATCAAGCATTGATTTGATTTGGATTTCTCTTCTGTTCATTTACTTTCTTTTTGTTAATTGATACAAATAGACTATTAACACTTTTATTTCTGAAAGCATTTTTGCACACCTGCCTAAAACGTTTGCACAGTACTGTGTACTTAGTTTAACCATGTATGTAGGTGCTTGACTGGAGTTCAGCTTTAACTTTGGTTTTAATTTCTGACAAAATCCAGATTACCTGATTGTGTTGGCTGGGCATGGAATCCTTTCAATCACTTGGCTAAGAGCAGCATCCCCTCCTGGTGTGTGAGTTGGTTCCATCGATTCTACCAACATAACAAACAGTATTCAGTCATTCATTTTATTTAAAAATAGCCTAGGTTGTAAGATAAATTGCATGTGTCAGCTCTTAGCCTGGAATCACGCTATTGCTTTGCAATAAGATGCGTTACCGTATATGCAGGCGTATATGACGGGTTTTTAGACCCAAAAACACTGCCCGAAAATCGGGGATCGTCTTATACGCTGGGTATACTTCGGTATACTGTATGTAGCTTTGGCTACATACAGTATACCGAGCTGAGCCAATCACGGGAGGCTTTGTATTGATGAATACAAAAGCATGTATTAATGAATGCAAAGCCTGCCGTGATTGACTCAGCGCTGAGCCAATCACGGCAGGCTTTGTATTAATGAATACAAAGCCTGTTGTGATTGGCTCAACGCGGTATACTGTATGTAGCTGAAGGACGGAAGATGGAGGACGCTGCGGGGATCGTGGACAAGTAAGAGACTGTAATCCCGAGTGTGGCTCGGGGTTACCACTTATGGTATTGAAAATTAACCCTGAGCCACACTCAGGAATACCGCCATGGAGGTTAGTAAGTGCATTTAAACATTATTTTGGGCTATACTCGTCTTATACGACGAGTATAGCCCAAATCCTATATTTTAAACACAAAAAGTAGGGGGTCGTCTTATACGCCGGCAAATACGGTACTTAATATGTGCGTTGGTGCTCTGCTCCAGGCACGTACATTGCATCTCACCACAACACATGGTAATGCACTACCATTTGCTGTTGTGCACTGCATTGTTAAAAATTGTGCGTGCCTTTTGGGTGTGCTTACAGCCCATTCAAATGAATATATTGCCTTAATGCAACACACGAGATAAACACGAAACACCAGGATGGGATGGTGTGAATGGGCCCTCAAATCAAACAAGTTATGTAATACAGTAAAATGGGTATACTAGAAAAGCACAGGAAAAGGAAAGTAAGGTAATTTCCCACAGCAGCACAACTTTTCCCTACTACCTTTCCATTCCCCATGCAAACAATAAGCAAAACAAAACACAGATTTGCATGTGAAGCACAAAACGACACATTATCAACTGTATCCACCATGAGGAGGCAATTGCCAATGTCTGCATCCAGTCAAGGAAGATGTCTTGGGGGCAGGCAGGGAAGAACTGTCATGCTCAGCAAACCTGCTTTTATCCACCTTTTCTAAGTCTGTTTCCTTTAGCACAAATATAATTCATAGGCCTGATTGCAAGTATTTCAGATTTCCATCAAAGATGTGCAGGAAAGTAAGCTTGCTGTTCTCCAGACTGCTAATCAATTCATTCAGACTACTTTAACAAAACGACAGTTACCTTTCTGGTTTTCTTTTGAAAGCTCATTTATTTCCATGTGTTCCTTATCCCCAAAAGAATGCTTATTGCTTGGACAACCTTTTACATACTCCTAGAATAAAGAAGAAAAAAGTCACTCTGAATACATTCCTCAGCCAAAATAAATCTCACATGTAGAGGTACTATAAACAGAAAAACTATGTATTCCAAGACAAGCTTCTTACATCTGCTCTAACCACCTAAATATGGTAGATATACAAATTTATATATATCAGACCAACTCCAAAGAGCTAACCATATGACTTAAAAGAGAAGTATTGGGGGAGTAAAAATATACTTTTTCCAATACTTAGAGCCAGGATGGAACACTGCAGCTGCCACACATTGGCTCTATATTTCGAGAGTGATCATGTAACTGCTGATCGCTCAGCTCATGGCTTCTCAGGCCAGCCTGCTTGCACCATGGAAATGCATGATGCCATGTCATGGCAACACTGAGGAAGCCAGAAGGCACCCCAGGGTTCTGTGGCACCTCAGTCGAGAAGGGTTGCTTTAACCCACTGCAGTGGTGGGTTGAATCATCTTAGAAGAATTCCACAAAATAGTGTCCAACCTCCTCCAGTTGGCCCTGACAGAAACATCACTCTCATATAGCTGGATTCCATATTAATGTGTTTATTCTACAGTGGATGTAGAAAATGTCAGAGATCTTGCCAGCTCTGAGAGATAAGTTAGAATGTGACCCAAATCAATAGCAACAATATTTAACCATATTTTAATTTGTGGGTGTAACTGGAACCTTCAAATCCTAGAATACAATCATACATTTTGTATAACTCATACCAGTACAGGGCTCTCTACATTTGACTGTAGATGCTGAGGAAGCAGTCCAAACCGAGCACGGTCTAGGTCATCTTCTGTCCCCAAACTTTCTGGTTGGGAGTCTTCAACAATGAGACATGGTGTGTCCTGTTGTGAAAAGTCTGAATCCAACTGACTCCTTGTGGGGTCCATCTGCTTCCCTATAAATTGCCAAAACAAAATGGAGTAAATCAAAAACATATGAGGCTGACTGCAAGCATGAAGGACAATAGCAGGAAGACATCTAACAGGAAAAAAGAATGCATGAGGAAACTACTTAAATAACCCTGGAGGCCATAAACATTAACAGGCTGCATCATGCTAATAACTCATAATGGGTTTTGCTTTTCATTTATATATACAGTATACACATATATTAATTGTACTCATTTATGCAACACATAAGCATTCCGTGTTTTACAAAGATAACCATGTATGATATAAAATGTAGCCTGAAGCCCTTTGCACGGTCATGCATTTTACAACCTGTGCGAACAGTCTTCGTATTCAAAAAGATTAAATGTCGCCATCTAGTACAAAAAATGTATTACATGCTGCAAGTTTGTCCTTTTTCCAGTTGGCTGCCAAGTATATTTATTGTGCACCAACAAGCCACCAAATTTCACTAAACTGAAAAAGCTGCCTTGTTGACATACTACAGGGAAATTTTCCACACGTGCACAATAATGCCATAGGTGGACAAATTAATATGGGAATTCAAGGGCTAGTCTGTGCAATCCTGGAATCAGCAAGAACACACAGTGCTCTTCACTTTTTATATTATATAGAAACAAAAAAAGAGAAAACACTACCAGTCTGTGCTGTCTCTGTGCAATCCTCACCTAAGCATTACCTACGTGGATTTTTTTTTGTTTGTTTGCATGAACTTCCTTTGTAAACCATGTATATTAGAGGTGCACCAAAATGAACATTTGTAAACCATGTATATTAGAGGTGCACCAAAATGAACATTTCAAAAACGAAAATGTCAGACCGAATCTGAAAATGTTTTTTTTTTAACTTTTTCTTTTAATATTTTTTTTTTATAAACGTTTTCATTTTTTTTATATTTTACTTATTAATTTTTATTAAATATTTCAGCTTTTTACTTTACTTTTAGGGGCTTCGGGAAATATTAGAGGTCTAAACAGACCCCTGATATTTCCCTTTTAAAATAGAAAAATAGATTGAGAACACAGAGTCCTCAATCTCTTTTTCTGCAGCCCGTGTTATAAATGAACAGGAATCCTCTATGCTGAGTGTTCCTGTTCATTCAATACTTTGGACATTTTGTGTTTACCGTGTACACAATCATGAATGAGCAGAAGGTGATGTAGATCACTTCCCATTCATTCATTTTTGGGGACACAGTAAACATACCATGCCCTCAATTATTTACAAACACTCAGCGATCACTGAGTGCTTGTAACACTCTCTTTCCTGTGTCAGTGAGCGAGAGGAGCTCAGCCTCCTGTGACAGCGCTGGCTGTTTCTGCCCACACACCGCTCTGCCGATCTGTGACAGGAGGCTGAACAGTGGGGAGGAGAAACGCCGGCCACTCACAGCGCTCTCCTCCCACAGTGCTCGGCTGCCTGTGACAGTTTCTCTCCTACCCACTGGGACACAGAGCAGCGCCCAGCGGGGAGGAGAGCAAGAACGGATGCACCACTATATTGGCCAGAAAATGCCAATTTCAGCCGCCGATATATCGGTGCATCCCTAAAGTATATATTTCCCTAATTCAAATATAACCAATGCTGCCAAATTACCCTTTTATCTGGAAGCAGGTATGGAGATGTTCTCTGTAATCTGTAGAATTTGCTGTAGCTTTACAAATCAATATGCAATTTAAAAAAAACATGCTTTAAAATTTAAAGTAGCCACCGATCCAAACTCACTCCCGTGATGGACTGCAATCTCAATACAAATTACTAAACTAAACGTGAGATTGTAGTCCGTCACAGGAGTGAGTTTGGATCGGTGGCTACTTTATATTACACACAGGGACCGTAGGGAACAATAGTAGCCACCCTCCAAAAGGAAGGACAGTGTCAGCACCAATTCAGAGATGATTTGAGGATCTACAGCTGAGTGATAAACAACTAAGCTAAATTTTTGATAATAGAGTTCATGGTGGTGGCTACTGGAAGCTTTTTGCAAGACATTATGGCAGCTTCTACAACTTCTTCAACACTGTTGTTAGATTCACCTACTTCTATCACGTGCTGGCCAAATATGTCAAAAATTTGACAACCTGTTATAAAAAATTAAGCATAGTATAAGGGTTTATAACTGTACGTTATTTTTTGCATCACTTTGAAACCCAACCAAATCTATGTTACGAAAATTAAGAAGTAAGATTAAATGCATTTATTTTGTGTTGCTAAACCATAGTCTTGGTTGTAATCTTTGAAGTACCTTACAGAACACGTTATCCTGAGCCGATACTGTAGACTGTGCTGGTATGTAGGAAATATCAAATACTTCTGTCCAAAGCATTGAAAAGATGCTTCTGTCCAAAGCATGCAGAAGCTCCAGATTCAGTCTTGCGTTGTTTGTGTTTCAAGAGGTTCTAAGACAGGGGTAGCCAAACTCCGGCCCTCCACCTGTGGTGAAACTACAAATCTCATGATGCATCTCTCTCCAGGAGTCATGTCTGTGGCTGTGAGAATCTTCCAATGCCTCATAGGATTTGTAGTTCCACCACAGCTGGAGGGCCGGAGTTTGGCTACCACTCTTCTAAGAGGTTAGTCTTTCACAGTCAGGAGCTAGACCTCATTCCATGGCAACTACGCCTTTAGCCACACCACCCGCTGACAGCGCTCTGACACCGCTGATTACAAATAGATACAGGGGTGTGGAAATTTTTGAAAAAACTACTTGTCCAAGAACTAAAGCGGGGGCCGAATCTACTTGTCCCTCATGACAATCTACTTGTCCTGATACAAAAAAAATAATTTTAACCAAAACTGTATTTAGCAGTGCTAAGAAGCACTTCTCATTGGTCAGTGCTGTCAGGTGACTGCGCTGACCAACGAGTGCTTGAATTTTGCGAGCGAAATTCAGAATACATGGAACAGGTACAGATAGTACACCCGCACTGGTGGAAGGGAAGGACCGTTTGCTGAAAGGTAAGTATAGTGGGAGGGAGATTTGTGCGGGTAATTCCATTTTCCCAAATTACTTGGGAAAGTGAATGTACCCTTTAGGGTTGGTGCAGACTTCGGGATTCCCGGGACGTGCGATCGTGTGCGGTGGCATACAGCGGTTGCATCCGCATGTATGGGGTTACATCTGGGTGACAAATCGCTGAAAAAAAGGTAGCTGTACCTATTTTCACGACATGCACCGCGCAGTGTTTTCAACTATGATCGTGTGTGATCGCCCAGGCGGTATTGCAGCAGGTAAACGCGCAATCTGCTTGGCATGACTGGGGTGCCATTAGAAAATAATGGCACTGACAGCACGATCGGCGGTGGTGTGCGATTCCGTGACCACCCAGCCATCCGCTCGATTTTGTGCACGATGACCAGGCAGTCACGGATCGCACACCCCTGCCGATTGTGCTGCCAGTGCCATTATTTTCTAATGGCACCTAGTCGTGCCAGGCAGATTGCGCGTTTTCCTACTGCAATACAGCCGTGCCTGTGCGATTACACACGATCGCTGTTGAAAACATTGCGCTTCACACTCTGTCCCCGCTCTTAACGCTTCACACTCTGTCCCCGCCCCCCGCTCCGTCCCCGCTCTCAGCGCTCCACGTTCCGTCCCCGCCCATCCGCTCTCGGCGCTCCACGTCCCCATGCTCGCTAGCACGTAGGCCTAGGAAAAATAACAAACGTTACGATGTCCTGCTCGGCCGGAGGAAACACAAAATAACTGAGGTGTGCTAGGCTGGTACTCTTTTTATTCTAGGTGTGGGTGATGTGTTTCCTGTTTCCGGTGGGAGGAGCCTATCTCTCTAATGCTGTCCTGGAAGGTGACTAGAGAAAAAGCACTTGCACGGCGCCCGGAACTACATGTCCCGAGCGTCGGGCGATACGAATTCCACACCCCTGCAGATATAAAGCAGACAGTGACTCTGCGCAGCACAATATGAATACAGCAAGACATATAGCTACACAGTAGGAGGAATGGCCATCACAATGCTGTAATAGAAGCTGGCTCCAAATTCATTTATTTTATTGGTGGGGTTCTTTATAAGCAACCAGCTAGGGCAACCATAGAGCTGAATGGTTTCTGTGCGTTTAGAACATGCTATTGCACAATGCACTGCCAGGCACTAGGAGTGCCGCCATTCATTCTGAATGCTGCAACACGCAGTAATGCAATACTGTGCATTATGTTGAAGTAGTGCATACTCATTTTTTTTTTCCAACACACAGCAGCCCACGCTATTGCGGTACAGTTAGGAGGTGCGGTGGGGTTCCATTCAGAATGCAGCGCACCAAGCATTGTGTATTGTGTGAAAGCATGAAAACAGTGCTTTTAGCGCAATGTTATAGTGTGAATGGGCCCTTAGTAAAACAGTACCATGTGCAAGCTGGCCATACCCTTTACAATCTGACTGTACAATCTCCTTTAGATCAACCAATAGTTATGTAGTACGAGAACCTGCCTGACTGGATACAAATTTAATGGATTGTTTAAGCCTTTCCTCATATTAGTTTTAGTAAATCTCAAGGAGATGGTACCGAAATTGTGCAATCAGATTGTATCGTTTATGGCCTGTTACATTGTACAGTACGTTCGGCAAATATTCCTTTTGCAAGGAAAAATGATATATACATACCATACTCCAGACCCTTGGTTCTCAACTGATGGGTCATGACCCAAAAGTGGGTCACGACCCCGTGCTCAGTGGGTCACCACATGCCCTTCACTTTTCTTGGTGAGAGGCTCCTCAGACTCCCCCTAGCTTACAGCTCCCTCACGTGTCCTGTAGAGGTGCCTGGACCGGAGTGACGTCACATTCTGGCTTCCGGCACCTCTACAGGACACACAAGGGAGCTGTACCAGCAATACACATATGGATGGAGCTCCATCACAGCACACCAACCCACACTGGACCCCAGGCTGACTATCCACTCCAGTTCTCGTAAGATAGGGAGACTGGGTGGATCTTATAAAAGAACAAAAAAAATGTATTTATTTTTGGAGTGTGTCTTTGTGTGTGTGAGAATGTCTGTGTCAGTGTTTTTGAGGGCCCATTCACACTAATACCGTTCGAATAACACACCACGCAATCGCACCTACCTCGCATTCTGGTGCAGGAGGTACGTTGCATTGCCATTCATTTGAATGGCACCCCAAACGCATCTCCCACCCACAGTTTGATCACCCACACTGGAACGCACGCTACCGCAATGCCGTACGTTCCAATGCGGTGCGACTTGGGTTAAGACTTAATGACCAAGGACAAATGTGGGTCCTTAGGTTACACAGGTTGAGAACCACTGCTCTAAACCACTCTATACAGTAAAAAGGCCCTGGACACATCAGTTGGTAATAACATCATTATGATCCATTGCATTACAGTTGGCCAATAAAATTTGCAATCTGTTGCGCTAAAGAATGCAATCTGTGCTGCATTATGGTGGAGAATCATAATCCAATCATCACTGACATTTAAATTTTTTCTATTACAAATATAATTTAGCAAGCCCAAATGGGCTTAGGAAATATCCACCAAGCACACAAATTCTGGACATTGAAGATTCTCCTTGGACCAATAGAAGATTATTATTATTATCATCCAGGATTTATACCGTTTGCGCAGCACCTTATAAGATAAGAAAGCAAGGACAACATGTAAGGATTTTGCTCCTTAAAGGACAAGGAATAATTGTTGGCAGTTTAATTAAATACCGCAACCCCTCTCAGTGCTGCCCATCTTGACAAATACTTACCTTGCTCCTTGATACAGGGATTTTATCTGTACGGTTTGCCTGGCGTCAAACAACCTTTCCAGCAAAAACGTCCCCACTGGCTCCTCCAATCACTGTACGTGTGTGCCACGGTCCCATTCATTTCTTTGGTGTAAACCATACTCATGGTGGTCTTCCAACAGAGTACAGCTTACCCATAGAAATGGAGTGGGACCACGGTGTGCATGCACACAAAAAATAAGAAGGTTCTCGCTTGAAAGGCTTTGTGGCACTGGTCCTAGTGGGCAGTACTCAGGAGTTAGTACTCCACTTACTCTAAGTAAGTTAACCTGAACTCCATCATGGATCCTAAATTGTAACTGTGGTCTGACAGGTTCAATCCAAATGAGAGTTCTGTAGGTCTCAGTGCCGGTCAGGGTGGGTGTGAAGTAGGCGCCATTACTAACCAGGGGCATGGTTGGGGCATAACAAAGAATGTCCACCCATTTATCATCTGCCCCAGAAGTCAGCTGTGTCAAAGTTCACATGTTATAGCAGAAGGAGCTCCAAACTATGTCTTGTAGAAAATGGGCCCCTAAACCCTAGCAGGAATATTATGTCCACCCATTTCCATCAATAAAAACATTACAGACGATATAATCCTCCCCCATTCTCTGTCTCCAATGGAGAGATTTCCATTAAATAGTGAAAATATTCTTTAAAAGGTTTGTAAGGCGAGTGTGCTATACAGTGCCAATATGCTATGGAAACCTGCATATTACACAAAATGTTTCTGGGAGGGCGCATATTTTTAGCAGCTCAGAAGGAAAGGCTAAACCCATTGGTCACCTTCGCTCCACATAAATCGCAATGTAAATACCTTCTTTTTTAAAGATTTTCTATGGTGTCACATGACCACAAAGCTCCAGCTAATGTGGAGGGCCGACACCAACACTGAATTCCATAGAGCAGTGAGTGACATCACCCGCCAGTGTCAGAGGAGGAAGACAGTTCCCTCCCACCAGCCGTACATTTACACATACCGTAGGAGCAGATCTGCAGTCACATGATCACATAGAAAAACTTTCAAAAAATCATTTTGACTTGAGTTGATAAAATGTATGCAGGGTGAAGGTGAGATAAGTTTATTGCTTGGATTTTCCTTCTGCTTTAAAGTATATTTGAACACAATAGGAGGAAATTTACAAAGACTGGAGCAGACAGAATATGGAGCAGTCGTGCAAAGTGACCAATCAGCTTCAATCTTCAGTTTGTTCAGTTAAGCTTTGCAAATGAGAGCTAGAAGCTGATTGGTTGCCAGGGACAACTACTCCAGATTCTGTCTGCCCAGTCTTAGTAAATTCCCCTAAGTTGAACTTTGAATTGTAATAAAGTAATTAGGGACATACCGGATATACCGATAACGGTATCTGTGCCGATCCTGGGCATTTTCACGAGTACTCAAGTACTCTGCTACTAAGCACAGATACCCGGGACCCCCGCACAGCCCTCCTAAGACCCTGTAGACATCAGGTCACCACCCCAGATCAACACAGAGTATGTAGCTTCATATTATTCTGCATTGCTATATAATGAATTGGTGGGATTTGTAGTCCTCTATAGCTGGTGCCATTCTGCATTGCTGTATTATATATAGCTGGGATTTGTAGTCCTCTATAGTTGATGGTATTTCAGCATTGCTGTATAATGTATTGCTGGGATTTGTAGCCCCTCTACCGCTTGAAGTCAGTGGCAGAACTACCAGGGTGGCAGCAGTTTCAGCTGTGACCAGGCCCTGGCGCTTTACCACTATCCTAAAATCATTAGTCTGTATTGTTTGACACACATTAAAAAAAAAGTATCAATTATTTTGTAAAAAAGTAAACAATCACTAGCTTTTTTTTTATGGTCACACGACCACACAGCTGTCATGTTCCTTCTATATAGTGCGGGGGGACAGGAAGTACTTTCCCCGTCTGTGCGCTGCTCCCATTCTGAGGTCCTCACTCCTACTGGTTGCAGCTACAAAAGGCAGGCTGTGATTGGCTAATGGTTCACAGCCATTGTCACAGCTGGCAGGATCACCAGATATTTTTATAACAAAGAAATACAAAAGGCTACAGTTTCATACACATACATAGCAACTAGGAATGTACCGATACTAGTATCAGTATCGATACTGAGTATTTTGGTGTGTACTTGTACTCACCCAAATGCTCCCGATACTTATCCTGGAACTGGGAATTCTTGTATCAGGAAGCCAGGCAGTGAATCATTGCATGCCGCGTGGCTTCCAGATTGGCTGGGAAGTCGCACTCCATTCTCCCTCATCACCAGGAAGCATGGAGCTGGCTTATCGACCTATCAGGAAGCCGGGGGGCAGGTAATGACTCACCCCCCCGGGTCCCTGATTGGTCGGGAAGCTGGCCAATCAGGAAGCGGGGCGGCGAGTCATTACCCATCCCCCGCCTTTATGATTGTTCAGAAAGGCGGCCTAATGCTTCCTCGTCACCTGGTCACGAGGGAGCATGGAGCCGTCTTCCCTGGCTAATCAGGAAGCTGGGCAGCAAGTCATTACATGCCGCCCGGCTTCCTTAATAGGACTTCCGGTATTAGTATTCGGTATCGGCGAGTACAGAAAAACAAAATATCGGTACTCAAAACCAAAAACCAGTACATTCCTAATAGAAGCACACATCTGCAATCATAGATTCCAGGGTCATATACATTTAAAGAGACATTTCTTCAGCGGGTTACTCCCTGATGAAGGGGATCCTACGTGTCCTCGAAACGTCGCACTGAGTGAGCTATGCTACTTCTTTTGCATGTACGTCAATAAATAAACGTATTCTACCTGCTGTTGGAGTGCCGGTGTCCACATTCTTTTATTTCTCCAGCGGGGACACACAAATAAAACCCATTACTTGTCATTCTCTG